ACTGTCCCACCTGAACAGCTCTGCAACTTTTTGCTTAATTCATCTGGGACAGGGTGTCCACTACCTGCACAGGACTCTTAGTAACCATTCCAAACCTCCCATTCCTGATTTGTTTTAATGAAATTCATCTATTTTTAGTATCAGTAAGCTACAGGCCAAKTTCTTGTTGAAAACTAGCTTAAAGTGTATTTTAGAAAAAGAACAGGATAACATTCATGTGCTGGTGTTAAAGAAAGGAAACTCTTATTTCCTTTTATTTCAGCTCCTGGAAGATCTGCAACAGAATTTCCAAAGGAAACCAACATTTCCCCTCTATTTAACAGAAATGAAAGAGCTCTCTCTTCTCCAAGCTGCCATAAATTGTTATAGGCATTTTCCACGTTYTCATCCCAGCCTGTCCCTTCCCTTCCCTGCCTTCACTTCTCCCAGTTGGTAGTCCATTTAATTTTGTTGGTTGGTTGGTCTTAAATCAGTGGGAAATGAGCATCTAACTCTGAAAATCAAAACACAATGTAGCAGCATTTATACGCATCAGCTTCTCCTAGGATCCAGGTAGAAACTAAGGTGGGTTATGGTTGCAAAATACTAACAGGCTTCTCTCAGATTGCTCACCTTTTTTTAAAAGAGAGTATTGCATAACCACTGCCAAGGGGGAAGATAGATTAGATAGATAGATAGATAGATAGATAGATAGATAGATAGATAGATAGATAGATAGATAGATAGATAGATAGATAGATAGATAGATAGATAGATATTCTGTCCTCCTTGCCTTGTTTCTTCTGTGGTTCTTCCTGTAGGACCCTTCTTCCTCCAGAGATAAATATTCCTGCTTCTTGCTCCAAAATTAGCCACCAATGGCTGAGGCTTTTTGTTTTAGTCTCAGTTAGGTTTTGTTATCCTTGCTAAGTTTAGATGTTTTTGAACACTTACAATTATTGTGGCTGAGAAATGGCAATTCTCATTTTGTGAAAGCAGACAGAGAAGAGAGAAGACGATACTTTTATTAAAAAGCCTGGCTATTTTCTCTCTAATAAGAGAACACATCATGCTTAAAAGAAAACATGTTCAACCTTCTTTACTTGAGTGAAAGTTTAGTGAATGAGGAAGCTAGCTAAGCATCTCAAAAGTCCTCCTGAAAGTCTTCACATGGGAAATTGTCTTAGTGTACYAAAATAAGCCACCCTCATGCAGTGAGGAAATCCTGCAGTTATGACAACACCCTTGGATGAACTGAAAACCAGAAGTTTTTCAACAAATTCTTCATCATTAAAGAAGAATGTTGAAATACACTAATGGCTCCAGGGTGCTATGAAAACTACATAGTTTTGCCAATCCTGAAGGGCTAAATTGCATCAGATTTTCACAATACATATTGCATACCTGTTCTCACCACTTCAAGCAGGCAAACACCTTCTAAAAGTGATGCAAGACACTGCCAACAACTGTCTTTGACCGAGAATAAAAGTCAAGTACTTTAAATGAAAACATGCTTGAATTTCATCCTACCATGCCTGCACTAATTCAGTAAAGTTWTTTGCCTTCCTTTCCAATTTCCACAGCCATCAGGAAGTTTGTTAATTCAAGAAGAGGAGGCTCTTTAGAGCATAGGGCTTTTCCTGGAACATTAAGGACTCAGACCAATAGTCACATTAAAGAACAAAGCATTACAACTRCAGACTTTGCATAGCATACAACAGCTTTGATGTCATTTTTGTGTCTGGTCTAACAGGTATGCAGTACTGTTCTGTACTGTTTAGATCTTCTCAAGAGCAGTGTCTTTAGGGTAAAAAATCCACCACATTTTTAGAGCTCACAAATGAGGTGGTGAAGACCAGGGACCTTGAGCAGGTCAGTAGCACCAGAAAACACAATTCAGTCAAAAGAGATGGTATTAAGCACAAAGTTATTCCGAGCATAAGAGCTCAGTTTGCAGAGGAACTCAAGGACATCTTACACGGAACTAACTGCGATCCTTTAAACTGAATGCAGATCCTTTAAAAGTGTTTCTTCTGCACATCACAGTAATCAGCATTTTTAAAAATTCCATTTCACACATCTACTTCATTCATGCTAGCCATAACACATTTTTAACTCTAGACAGTGGTGTTACAACTGATGTGCAAGAATCCCCAGGAGAGGTCTTTCCCAGGTGCATTCAGGGTTTGTACTGCTTCCTTACAACACCAGTGCTTCTACACATTGCATGAAGTACAGAAAGCAACAAAAATCTTCGACTAATCCTGAAGACTGTCTCCAATGAACAAAGATACTTCAGTCAACCTTCTTCAAACACAGTTATTTTAAATGGAAAACCATGTAATTGTCCATTYCAAGCAAATAGCAATATCTGCCTTGCGAAATTTTATTCACATAATCAAACCTCTGGGTAAGATACAGCCATRCTCTTTCCAGCAATGGCATTTCAGAGTATTTCCTTCAGCTCCTGGTAACTTCTGAGCATATCCTTAAAGTTTGTAAAGCATTTTTCTGCTGTGAAAAACTTTTGTGCTTTAAAGTAGTACYAAAGTCTGTATCACTTGCGTCTAAATCCTATCCTGCATAGACTAAGACTACATATATTTACTAGAGGAAGATATGATCTACGAAAATATCACATCATCCCAGTCTAATTGGTATTCTACAAATGATACTGCATTTTAAGTGACAATTATCCAAGATCTTAGTTTCTAAATTAAAATTAATCACTTGAAAACTGATTAGGGTATTTAAAAAAAAATTATGCTTCTGCTTTAGAAATTAGAATTGGTTTTAGCTATCGTTGGGCAATTTGAGGGGGTTACTTTTTCTTTAGAAAGTTAGAAAGTGTAAAATAGTGTTTTCTTTCTAACTGTAGATTTAATKTATTGTCCAAAGATTGACAAATACCTGCAGGAATCTAAATGGAATATAAATGTAATTAATATAAAAAGAAGATGATCAAAGAATGTGACACCCCACAACCTTTAAGTGAATGGGAACAGCAAGCTATGTTTGCTTCTAACTTAGCTGTTCAAAAATTTGCAATTAAAACATTAACAATGAATCTAAACACCATCTCACAAAGCTATAAAATTACACTGAACTGGGGAAAAAAAACTTGGCAAATATTTATCATCAGATTCTGAAACTTTTCCACTGTGCATTGATTGAAAATGTGATACTGAATAAACTCAAATCTGTTTTTATTTTTAATAACCTGGSAAAAATTTAAAAAACAATGTTCTGTATATAAACTCTTCTTGAAAAATATTGTTTAGATTTTAGTTTCGTAACTGTGATTTATGATTAATTAACACATTACCGATGTCTCATTACACTGATTTTTTAGTTAACAAATTATCATCTTAATGCGCAACAGCAAGATCTCAAAGAAGATAAATGTAGCACTTTTATACCAACATTAAGAAAGTACTGATTCTAAGCATTCAGATGGGAAAACAAAAGTATAAAAAAACAGAGCAGTCTAACAAAAGCTTAAATTGTCACAAAATACAATATACTGCATCACTCTCCAAATAGCAGGTGTTTGTTAATTTAACAGAGACTTTTCTTTGTGTCTTGCTTCGACAAAAGAGAACAAGACTTGTAAGTCACGTATCAGGTAAGAAAGAAAAAACAATGAGAAAGAATTTCAAAGATATGTATCTTTGCTGAAGTGAAAACAAAATTCTTATCATGTTCTTAAGAAAKAAATGCTTAAAAACCTAACTACTGAACTTGTTATTAGTATAAATGAAGAAAAGCACTACCTACAATGTTAGACACCCTTTTCTTGTCTTATGCTTTTGTTGTCCAATGGAAAAATCTATATATTACCATAACCTTGAGAGCCTGACATTTTTCCTGCTGCTTGCATTCAGAAGGATATCCTACCAACCAACTGCTACAACAGAGATCACACCACAAAGCATCTGCCTCTTCCACAAGTACTCAACGGAAAAAAAAAATCAGCATGCCAAAGAACTCATCTGCTTCTTTAATACTTCAATAAGGGTTACAAGTTGGCCATGCTACATCAGACAGTATTSCTGGAAAACCTCAGCTTCTTCTTAYTGGACCTGAGGCAYGACTGAAAATTATATTTTCTGCAGAATAATCGGAACAAACYATCACCGAAGGCAAAATTAGTTGTAAAATTACTTGATATTTGAAGGACATAGTCTCCTATTTTTCAAGAGATAAGATGCTTATAGAATAAAAAAAGCAATCCTTTCTTCTTCTAGAAAACAYTGCTGAACAAGTTTATTTGCTTTACTGAAGGACAAAACCAAATCATCTTACTTTCATAAACAATCCCAACCCTTAGAAAACAGAATTTTTCAGGGTTCACAGCAAGTGCAGYAAGATCAAAGATAAATGAACAGGTAGAACTCTACTACACAAAACAGTTACTTAAGTATTTTATAAAATTGCCCAYGTTATTTTAATAGATGTATTTCCTATTACCTAGTCGATTTTCTCTTTTTACTTCACTTATATGGTACTTTGATAAAAAGTATTTAAAATTTTTTTTCAAAGACAGCAAGAAAAGTCTTTCAACAGCGTTGATTGGCAGTTTGCCATTGCCATCAGTAAATCACCAGGGAAGACAGAAAGCAGCACCAAAAATAACATTCTCTAGTTGGGTCCATTGGCCATATGTTACATGTGAAAAAAAATAAATAAACCACCAACCAAAAACAAACATATGTTTCTCCAACAACCATAAACCAGGGGGAAAAAAAAAAATCAAACCACAACTCTTCAGCCTTGACGAACCTATTCCTGAAAGAGCAGCATTTGTTTTTCTTCAGGTACTTATTTTTTTCCTTTTTAAATCAGGACCACTCCAAGTTAATTTTCCTGAACTTACTAGCAAGTGTTTATTTCTCACCAAGGCAGTACCTTCTGTAGCAGAGCTAGTCCACAAGCAATTTACRGATTGCTAGCATACAGCAGCAGCACACAGACATGCAGCACGTGAAGGTCACAGTTTGGTTTTGGAGCTTTTTACTTACCTTTCCCATTTTGCCATGCAGTATACCAGGACAAACTGAGGAAAGTAGTGATGAAAACTAACACGGTGGCCACAGTTCCATTTCGGAGCCTCATCTCATTTCAGCATCACACTTGTTTATGCTCTGTTGGTGATAAGGACCTATCTCTTGGGCTTGCTGCAATGAAGTCAGCTGAAGTACTCCAGCAGCAGCTGGACAATAGCGAACACGAAATGTAGCTCTCACGTATCAGACGTATCATAAATCAATCCATTCCAAACTGTTGTATGCTTTCTTATAGTTCTCATCAATTCAGCTTCTCTTTATTCTTCTAGTCCTGTTTAAAGGAAACAAAATTTTAACAGATTATGTCACAAATACTTAGAAGAGTCCCCCAAGAACCGAAATACACTACACACTCCCCAAGAACCGAAATCACTACACACTCCCCTCTCTCTGCCACAGTCTTGGCTCAGAGGATAAACTCGTTAGATTCATGTGTGCCTTTTCTAAGACTGTTTGTATCTRGGGAAGCTGTATTTCATGTGAATTTGGTCACTGAAGGACAAACATACACATCACCAACACTACAATTTTATTCTCAAGGCAAAGTCACGTGTCAGCTGGCAKGTGTCAAACTGATAAAAGAGCTGCTTTCAGGATGCAGCAACTCAAGACCCCATTCCTAAACCTCACTTCAATAAAACCCCTCTGAAATCAGTGAGGCCTCATGTAAATGCAGAAGCAGAACCACCTCCAGCGAGTTGAGCTTTAAACACCACGCTGCATCACTCACCTTTTCTCTGCTCAGTGCAAGAGTATTTGATCCATTCACAACCAGTTTTTTCTTTCTCAGCTGCAGCTAAAGCACTGACTACAGTCACGCATGCAGACTGCTCAATCTGTAACAACTGACTTCAACCCAGAAGCCCCCAAAAAGCCATGATACAACTCTTGCTCCTCTATTGCTACCACATAGGCACCACGATAAAACATAAGTAACCTACAGCACAGTTTTATCCCTGAGGAACATTCTATATGCTGGTATTAGAAAAGCGTCAGCTGGGCAAACACAGCCAGCATCTAATCACACTGTCCTAAGGAAGACAAAGAGAGTTTAGGGCAATAAATAAACCAGCTTTAAAAGAGAGGGGGAGAGGTTTTCAAAGCATTAAATCATCCTTTACAGTAGTCAAACATTAGCAGTCAACACTCCTTCAACACGCTGCCTGTTTTTTTTCCCCTCTATAAACTACATCTGATACAAATACGTTACTCTGCAATAAATAACTTGCTCTGCATTTTCCTTGGAAGGAATCTCTGTCACCTTCTTGCCTTGCTGCATTTAGAACAACTGGGGAAAAATACTTTTTATTATTATGGTGCCAAGAGATTCCAGTCAAATCTGAACTACCCTTCCAAAGTTTATATCACAGCACACATTTCCTTTACCAAAGGGCTTGCAAAACAAGGCATAACCAACAGGCATGGTTAACAGAAGAGTGGAAAAGACCAATAAAGTTGCAGAACTACACATGCTTCTTTTCAAATCATGGTCACAACATCCAGGTTACAGGAAGCATTTACCTTTGGACCATGGCTACCTCACCTATAATGCTAGTAACGTGCTTTGCTTTGAGGAACTTCATGCACAGATAGGTTTGTGGCTTTAAACATTAACTCAGAAAGCCCACAGAACCTACAAGGAAGGGAACAAATGCAAGTACATGGGAAGGAGATACAGCGGATGGTAACATTCCGTAAGAAACAAAATAACGAACTGGAATAAAAAGAACTGGAAGAGGCCTTATGATAGGAGGAACCCAAGTTCAACACGAGAGATAAAGACAATTGAGACATCTATGGACAGCTAACAAAGAGAGCACAGCATGCCAGAAATATCATCACTACCAGCATTTTGAATAGGAGATGGACATRGTAAAAGCCAGAAGTGTCTGCAATAGTAATTAGGTGAGAAGACAAAAGTCCTGATGAAATTTAATAACAAGGTGAGGCAAAGACCCCAAGTCCCAAAGTTTTACAACAACTGTCTACATGAATTTAGGAAGTTCAGGTGATYCCCAAACTACCAGAACAAGCAACCAGGATACCAACAAAATCAATGGCACTAACAGTTTAACTCAGCTWAAGTACCTCTGAAGCAAAGATGCCTAAACTGTAATCTACTTTTCCATTATTTTAGCATCAGTCAGATCTCTCTGGAGCTCAGGTAGGTACAAAGGACCAGGCTGCAAGCTAGAGGGATTATCACAGTGGGGGCAACTGACAGCTGGTCCAACATGCAAACAAGAGAGGGCAACCAGGCAAGTACAAATACCATCTGATAATGCAAGGAAAGTGAACTGTCTGCCTTGCCAGAAAATGTGGGCATAATTTTTACATTTGTTGTAACAAAATCAAGATGTTCTGATCAAGGCCTCTCGTGCTATCTGAATTGTCAAAAACACAGAAAAAAATCAGAAAACAAAAAGTAAAAGGAACAGTAGCAACATGATTCGACTAGCAGTCAGTATGCACAAAATTGTGTCAAATCAATAATTATCATGGGTTTGAGTTGGCTGGCTCTGCTTTCATTCTTCTCTTCGGGTGTTGTAACCACTCCTCTTAGCACAGGCACCAGCAGCTCAGCTACAGCTCAGCAGTACTTAGATGATTATTCAAGCATTTCACTATATCAAACTGCATACATCAAGGCCATGCATGAACCAGACACATTCCAGCTTTTAAAAATTCATACAGCTAAACCAGCAGAAACACATGTGTAGATGCACATACATTATTTAACTCCCAGGTGGTCACTTTAGGTTTGTTCAATAATTTACAACACAATCTAAACAAATTTAACCGAGGGGTAATCCAGTTTGAGATGACAGTATGATACGGTATAAAAAGACAGATGAAGCCTATGAAATTTGCCAGCGCCATTATGACCCGAACCTTCCCCACTGCAGACCAAAGGGAATGACCCGGCTGGATGCTGAAGGCCATGGGTGCTGAAGGTGCCAGAGCAGAACCCTACTGAATCACGTCTTAAATAAACCAAGAAGTTTCTGCCTACATCCAGACACTCCCACAATACACACAAAGCATATTCCCCACCACAAACTATAACAAATGATACACTCCAGTGCACCTGCAAAGGCTCTTCACATAGTTGCTGAAGGGTTGGATGGTGCGGGATCACAGCACGAAGCGTGCCAGACTTCCGAAAAGATGAGCCAGACCCCATCCTGCCGAGAGGGTGCGAAATCACCTACCGCGGTAGCAGTGCTGCACTGAAAAGGTTGCTCTCGAAGGCACGGCAGAACGGCCCGTGAGGAAAAGGCAGCTAAAAGGCAAAGGCGACGGGGACTTGCCAAACAGGGGATTTTCCACCTTATTTCCACTGAAACACTCCGGCACACCCCGCGGCTCGCAGCCGGCCGCCGCCACCCTCCCTGGCATCCCGCAAACCCAGGGAAACAAGGATGGGCTGCCTCCGTGGAAACCGTCCCGAGTTAGAGAAGACCCTTCCCGGTGTCCCTCCACCACGGTCGCGGCTATCTCTTCGGGAAAGCGAAAAATCGGGGGGGGGGGAGTGATGGGCACCGGGCGCCGCCAGCTCTGCCGGGCGGCAGAGGGCGAGAGCTGACGGGGACGGAGGGAGGAAGGGAGGCGGGGAGGGACAGCGCCGGTCCGGGGAGCTGCGCGGCGCCCGGGGCATCGCGGCGAGGCTGCGGAGGAAGGAACAGACACAGGAAACTGCAAACTCTGCCGAACGCCCCTGCCATCCCGGCGCACGGAAAGGAGGAGGAGGAAGGGTGGGAAGAGGGGTATCCCCCAGACACCCCAGCAAGAGAGGGAGAGGGCGCAGCGCCGCTCTGCCCCGGACCCCTGCAGGCACACCCGAGCAGCGGTGTGAGGGAGAGGGCGGCAGCAAGTCCTGCGGAGGAGCGGCCGGCGCTCCCCGCACCGCCACGCAGGTGCACGGGAGCGCAGAGGGGAGCGGGCGGGCAGATGGCGGAGCAGGACGGCCCCCAGCCTCCCTCCGGCGACACCGCAAAGACCCGCGGGGAGGGAAAGCGCCTCCGCCGCGCTCCCGCTCGGGAGGGAGCGGAGAGACGCCCGTCCCTGGACCCCCCCCGGAGYCGAGCCAGCGGTCCGCAGGGGCGCGGGGCGCGCAGGGGCGGCGGAACGCGCTGACCGCCGCTGCCGTCCTCACCTGTGCGCGGCGCTCCGGCACGGCGGACCCGCGGGGCGCGGGGGCTGTGCGGGTTCCGCCGGGGCTCTCGCTCCCCTTCCCCGCCCGCCCCCCGCGTCAGCGGCGCGCCCGGCCCCGGCGACCGCCCCCCGCCCCGAGAGCCATGGAGCGCGCGGAGCCCCGCCCCGCCCACCCGCCGGCACCGCGGGCAGCCAATGGGCGCCGCCGCAGATGGAGCCGCTCATTGGCTGAGTGGCCTGTCACTCTCTCCGGCCGCGGCTATAAATGGAGCTGTCTGGGGACGCCTCCTTCGGCGGCTGCGGCGGGAGTCGAGTGGGTGGGCGGTGCTGCGGAGGGGCGCTCTTCGTCGGCGCGTTCCCTTATTTGGCTCTGCTTTTGGGGGTTTATGGTTTCGGGAGAGACCCAAGAAAGGCTTAGTGGCCTTGGGCGCTCGTTGCTCTTGGTCACCTGCGAGAGGTGCACCCTGAACTTGGGTCAGGGCTGAGCCCCTGGCCTGCTGTGTGGGTGTTTCTCCATCTGCCTGTCAGTGCCACATGAGCCATGTATCGGTGCCCCGTGTGACCTGCTTGCTCGCCGCTTACAAGAAACCACAGTCATGAATTTCCCCGTTGAGTTCATACCCTGCCAATAAACACCTCTCGGAGCTTGTAAGTGAGAGTTGTTGAAATTTAAGAGCAGCTTGTTGCTTCACGCCAGTAAAAGGAGCCTTCTGTGCTTTGTCCCGCTKTGGGCAGGGTGTTCTCGTGCCGTGGCGTGCGGGCCGCCCACGAGGTGGTTACACAGGGACAGCCGTGAGGCTGTGAAAACGAGCTCGCTTTCCTCCAGAGGTTCCTGAGCTGCGCAATCACTGAGAGAAAAGTCAGTGACAGCTTTACTCTATGGGTTCACCAGAGTCATGAGGTTGCTGTTCTATAAGTAATCCCCTGTCTAACGTGGTTCATTTAATGTGTTCCAGGAATTCCGTGCATCTTTTAGGATGTGAAGGCTCCTGTTCAGATCAGATGGCACTCAGAGCTTTGAGTAGTATCCTGTCTACCTCACAGAAGCTCTGCTCTGGACCTGTAGTGCTAACTGGTTAGCAATATTCAACCTTTTCATAGACTTGATTTCTTCCTCTTCTCTGTTTATCTTCCACCTGCTTCAAAGTCCATAGAATTATAGAATCATAGAGTGGTTTGGATTGGGAAGGACCTTAAAGATAATGTCGGTCCAACTCCCCTTGCCATGGGCAGGGGTATCTTTGACTAGACCATGTTGTTTAAAGTCCCATCCACCTGGCCACTGCATCCACAACTCTGGGCAACCTGTGGATTTTTATTCTCTGTTACGACTCTTGTGCTAGATACAGTGGGATAATTCCCCACTAGAACTTTAGAAACTGTGGAAAAATCTTGCTAGTTACTCTGTTTGAAGAGTGACATTTAACAAGGTTCCATATGCTTTCATTTTTTCTTATCAGTGCTTCAACACATTACAGTATTTTTACACATTCGGGTACCTGCACAGTAGCCCTCAGTGATTTTTCTGTCTTTCTGAAAGATTTCAAAGAGGGTCTGGTGGCAATTCAGGCAGATCGCAATAAAGAAGCTCAGGAGAAGTTTGCAAGGTCTTGACATCCAGGCTGTTCTGTGATTTTATTCATTGAGTGGTGAGAATTTATTATGTAAATGTGTGTTTCAGTCCTCCCTTTTACAAAGAAGAGGAATAAAGTGGATATTTTTATTGAAAAATGAATTTAGCACAATAACTTTTAAACCAAAATTAGAGGGTTCACCTCCTCATGCACACAGACACATCTATGGTGGAATTTTCTGTAGAGATCCCAACGAGCTAAAGGCATTAAAGGCACCATTGTTTGTATCTAATAGATTAGTGCTGCTTAGGGATATGAATTTTTGCATTTCTGTGCTGGACAAAAAACTGGCAGAGACATTTTCACATAAAAGTCCTTTTGTCAGGAGAGCTTAAGAAGAAGAAAAGACTCTGTTACAAGATGAGTATAATGACAGTTATTTCACAAGGACTGTCTGAGCCTTCCTACTTTTTGTCCTTTCACCGATGGAACGTTTGCATTAGGAAGGTTTACCGACAGGAGCTGTACAGTATCCAATTAACTATTAACTTCCCTGAACAATAGAGTGTGTGTAATGTTCCTCTGACATCTTCCCCTTGAGTTAGTTTCCCCAGAAAGAAGGCAAAGTTCAGAACAGGGAAAAAAAAATCAACATTGCCCTCATCTGACCTACAACAGCAATAATCAAATGCCTTTTGGCATATTCCATTGCTTGATGCATAGACAAAGTSCACAGTGAAGGAAATGCTGCCACTGCCAGTTGGAAGGAGTTGGGACTGGCACACTGAAATATTCCTTACGTCTGGTGAGGGTGGCATCCTCCTTTTAGGCTTGAAAAATACTTACTGCCAGCAAATTTCWGATTTCATTCTTCCTGCTGAGTTATTCCTTTATCCTGCAGCCACTGCTGTTCAGCTGGAGTATCAATCTGAAATAGGATAAGGTTAAGCAATCCCAAACTCCCAAATCTGTGTTTAAATGCAAGTGTTAAGATATAAACACTATAACAACTTTAACAGAGGAGATCTGAGGGGAGAAAATGTTTTAAAAATACAATCCCTAGTGTTCCAGCTTTGGTTGCTGGAAAAAAAAATTGCCAAGGAGCTTGCTATTCTGTACCAGCAGGAAATAAAACCAGGCAAGAGAGAAATGAATAATCATATTTCAACAGAGGGAAGATTTCATGCTGGGAGATTTTTGCTAAGGTATTACCTACTATCAGAGTAAAGGCAAAGTGGTAAAAGATGCTCTAGGCCTGCCATAATTTCATATATGCTGCAGTGGCTGCACACCAGGGCAGCCAGATTCTACAGAGCTTTGTGGCTCTTGCCATTCATCAGATCTGGAGCTTGTTTTATCCAAGCAGTTTCCTGACTCCTTCAGAATCACTACACTGTTGTTCTTGCATTTCACTGTGTTCGTGTTCTGGCACTGGGAAAGATGCAAAAAAGATGCTTGRCAGTGGCAGGCAGCAAAAATCTTTGTGGTTGTGTGGCTGAAAAATGGCCATCTGAAAACTGTCTGCATCTCCCAACCAAAAATCGAGTCCTCTCTTCAAGACAGGATTTATTCTCAGCTTGCCACTTAACCTTGTTTTTTAGCAGAGCCAATTTCTCTTGGTGCTTCTACCTCCGTTCCACTTCAGTTTTTTCTTTTTTCAGCTGTAAACCTTTCATGACCAAATCTTTTTTGCTTTATGTTAGCTGAGCACCTCACTCAGAAGTGTGGGTGTATTTCTGCTGCGCCTTTTCTACACTCCCATATCAACAATAAACAAAGAGAGGCACAAATACACCCAGTGTGTGTCATGGAAGGACTGGCCATGGTTGCCCACTGCCCCTGCAGCTGGTCTGGGCTCCAGGCTGTCTCCTGCATATGGCCACGTTATCCCTATCCCTATCCCTATCCCTACAGTTATATGGATAGGGGAAGGAAAAGCCAACTGCCCTTCAACCACCTTCTTAAACTCAGTGTGCTGAGGAGCTGGGCTTCAAGTCATGGCACAGCACAGGGAAGACTTGAGGCCCTCACCTGGAACCATGGCAGGGCAGCAGGAGGACAGGCTCATGGAAGGGRAGGGAAGAAGGGGAGCTTTCCCATCCCCTTCCTATGACTAGGTTAAATAGTGTATGCCTGATAATGCAGGTTTTCCCATCTCACAGACAGCCTTCATGCTCATRCAAATTCAGATCTCATTCCAGCTTTGCAGGTGTAAGCTGAAACAAATGAATACCTCAGTTGCTGAGATAGTTTTTGGTTTGTAGTATTTTATTCACAAAGCTGCTAGATGTAGAGTTCATGACTTCTGTAGCACCTCTTGTAGTGCTAATACTCATCAAGTAAAGTGATGTAAAAAATTATATTGATATAAAATTATATCTACAAATGCTTGGTAGCTGTAAAATGCCATGTTTAGGTAATCAATATTCTGCATTTTCTGTGATAACATTATGAAATAATCTTCATTATATGTTCTGATGCCGCTTCTCTGCACAGAGCTGTTTCACTCAGAAATCACGTGTGATCCTTTCCAGTAGGTAAATGGTTGTTCCACTTTAACAAGAGAAAAACTAAGGTGCAACAGAGAGCAAATAATCTGTCCAAGTCTTTTGGGGACGTAGGAACAGAGCTTGATCTCCAAACTCACAGAATCATAGAATCATTTAAGTTGAAAAAGACCTTTAAGATCATGGAATCTGTGTTTCTTTACCCTCATCCCTACATCACTGTCATTTCACTCTGTGGAGATTCTGTCTGAGCTGCAAATGCCTCTGCCATATGCTCAAAGGTGATGAACATTTACATTTATTCATCTCCTTCTGAAGGCAGAGGCTTTTAAATGCATTTGTACTGTTACATAAACATGAACCTGGAAACTGTGAAGTTCATATTGTGCCAATATTGCTGATGGTAGCTGAGGTCCAGTGTCTGGGTAAAGAGCAGTCAGATACACTTATTTTGAAGAGATAAGTCCAAGTGAAAGGAAAGCCCATTACAAATTAAGCATTTTGACTGCAAACTTGTTTTCCAGTTGCCTGCTTCATGGTACTGCTCTCCTACAATTTAAAAAAAAAAAATCAGGGAAATTCTTACAGACTTCACATTCTGGACATCTCAATTGTAAACAAAACATTCTGTGAAGGTGTCTCCTTTAACTTACCTCAGGGTAACTTGGTGGATGATCCACTGACATCCAGGAAGCTGCAGTTAAAGGGGAGTCTGAATTAGGTCCTCAACAAGTGTGGTTTTCTGAAGGTCTTCTTCTTCTAAAAGTCTGTTTCGCTCTTTCCTAGCAAAACTGAATATAGGTCCAGACAGCATGGTAGAAGAATCCAAGGCAACTTGCACAGGCAAAAATAAGATATTTTAGAAGGGTCTGTCAAAATCCAGCACATTCTTTCACTGATAGATGAGTTTTGAAAGAGAGAGTCTGTGGCTYCTGTATAACTCTTAATTATTTTGTGCAGAATTGTTATGAGCTATAAAGGTTTTCTAGCTCCACTCACTGCAAATGCCCAAATACCTAATTGAG